ATGATAGTAATGTATTTTTTGCTGTTCCCAAACAAGAAAACCATTATTAAGGCTTTATTGTAGCTCTTTTATTGTTTACACTGTCTGTGGACTTAAATCTTTTCTTTGCCAGTGTTCCTGTTGTCCTTTCTTCACTGACTACCCTGACTGCAAACGCTGAGAGTTCAATGACTGATTTGTTAATTAGTTTCGGGCCTTTGTCCAAGAAGAACTGCAGCTGTTATTACAATATGATTAATAATATTTGTGGCCATGTATGCACATACTTAGGTATGTTGTGATACATATTTTTAAAAGAAAAAGCTCTCTCGGTTGTAAAGAATTTGGTTTCCATCTGTGAGAACAGTAATAAAATTTGCATGTAAGTGGTTAACATATTCAAAAATATTCAAGTTTCTGCTAAGTACCAGACATAATGCTAGGTCCAAAGGATACAGTGGTGGGAAGAATAGGCATAATACAGTCTAGTGGGGGCGACAGACCATAGACAAGGAACAAATATATAAATACAAATTCTGATCAGTTACAGAGGAAAACATCAGGATACCATGCTGGAGAATGGAAGGCCCAGCTTTGATAGGGTGGTCAGGGACTACTTTTCTGAAGTTGTGATGATTAAGCAGAAATTTATAGATCCGAAAGGACTCAGTCATGCTAGGACAGCAGAAAAAGCCATCGCAGGCAAAGAAGAAGCAATGTTTAAAAAACAAAACAAAACAAACAAACATAAAAAGCCTATCCTTGAGCAATAATTATTTATTTTGGGTTGGAGATGGTTGTTGTACATGGGCATCTGTATGTTGTTGTCCCCAGGGAGTGAGGTGGCTGCCTAGGATCAAGAATGCAGATTGTGGTCATGAGACAGGTTTCTTGGTGAAGAACCTTTTTATGTCCATACTCACCTTGACACTGCTTTAGTTTTAGCCTTTGCTGCCTGCTGGAGACCCATGTAGATAAGTGCTGTGTGTTGTTTTCTCAGTTCCCCAGCTCAGAGCATGAACAGGTGGTCGGTCATAGATGCTTCTGAGTGTGGCTAATGAGTAACATTAAAAATCCTTTATGTTAACTTGTTTTTCCATGATCTGTGCTTGCTAGGAGCTTTTCTTCTAGATATTTTCAGTACAATTTGAGCTTTTCATATGGAGTTGAGTAATTCAAAGAGATAGTAATGAGCTTTTCATATGGAGTTGAGTAATTCAAGGAGATAATAACGGGATTGTTTTGAAGGTGTGGATTTTAATGGGCACTTCATACCCTAAAAAGTCATTTGCCCTCAGGTATTTTAGGTGTATACTCTAACAATATCAGGCACATCTCAGAGGTGGGAAATTTGAGGCTACAAAGCATAGCTCCTCAGAGACCAGGACAGTTTTTCAAGATATAATGAATATAACCTGCTAAACAAGAAAACAAAAATGTAACAAAATATAGAAGTTTATAAATCTCTGAGGGAGAAAAGTAAGTAAATTATCAAAGGACTGAAGTCTCCAGAATGCGAGCTTCAGGAGGGCAGGGTCTTGCATCATGTTATGTCATCCACTGCTGTGTCCTTGGCACTTAAAATAGGTCCTGGCACAGAGTGGAGCTCCAGAAACATCTGTGGAGGGAACAACCGAGAAGACCCTGAGCAGATACACTTAGCCAAGTAGGAATACTAGGATGTATTTTACACATATTATGAATGGTAGATTTTGAATTTTTATTATTTTAAATAAATGGTGAATTAGTATGACTATAACAGAGGGAAACTTGCAGGTTTTCATCTTCCTAATAAATAAATGCTTGGGAGGATCATGGAAACCAGTGGCCTTGATCCCAAAGTTGCAGGACACAGAGTATTTTGGCATCTTAGATTTATGACTGGTATGTTTTATACATCTTTCCTTTCTTACCTGTGTGGCCTCGAGCAAGCTATTTAACCTCTCTGTATCTGTTTCCTTATTTGTAAAATGGGAGTAACAGTAGATAAAACCTACCTGATAGAATTATTGCAAGGATTAAATCACTTATGTGTAAAGCATCTGAAACAATGCCAAGCACACAGCAAGCTCTGTGTGTGTTAATTGTCATCAGAAGTATATTTTCCTTGTTTGAGGTAACCTCTGTCAGGAACTTTCATATCTCATGATAACCATAAATTTAAAATTAAGATTTGAAAAAAAAACTTCTATGAGTCATATATTTGTGTTTCATTTGTTTTTGTAACAGCTTTAATGAGATTTTCTGTGCTATAAAATTCACCCTTTTAAAGTGTACATTTCAATGATTGTTTTGCATATTTAAAAAGTTGTACAATTATGCCACTAATTTAGAATATTCTCCCCAAAATAATTTTAGAACATTTTCATTACCTCCAGTACCCATTACCAATCTCTGCACATTCTCCCCTCTCCTGAGCCCTTGGCAACCACTAATCTCAGTCTTTCTTCATATATTTGTCTGTTTTGACCATTTCACATAAATAAAGTTATACAATATGTGGTATTTTGTGTCTCATGTCTTTAACTTAGCATAATGTTTTCAAGGCTCATCCATGTTGTGGCATGTATCAGTACTTCATTCCTTTTTGTGGGCAAATAATCATCATCGTGAGGATATACCGCATTTTGGTTAGTCGTTCATTATCACAGCATTTGGGGCATTTGAGTTGTTTCCGTTTTCTTGGCTATTATGAATAATGCTGCTATGAACATTCGTATACCAGTTTTGTGTGGATGTATGCTTTTAGTTCTCTCGAGTATATACCCAGGAATGTAATTGCTGGGTCATGTGGTAACTCCATGTTTAGCATTTTGAGGAGCTACCAAGCTTTCCCAGAGTGGCTGCATTTTACAATCCCACTAGCAATGGATGAGGGTTTCAATTTCTCTATATCCTTACTAACATTTTTTATTGGTTACCTTTTTTATTTTAGTCATCCTAATGAGTATGAAGTAGTATCTCATTGTGGTTTTGATTTGCATTTTCCTGATGGGTAATGGAGTTGAGCATCTTATGGTTTATCGTCCATTTGTATATTTTTGAAGAAATGTCTATTCAGATCCTTTGCCCATTTTTAAATTGGGTTATTTGTCTTTTTATCACTATAAGAGTTCTTTATATGTCTACACATAAATCCGTTATCAAATGTATGATTTGAAAATGTTTTCTTCTATTCTCTGGGTTGTCTTTTTCACTTTCTTCTTGGTATCTTTTGAAGTTCATGAGTTTTTAATTTTAATAAAGTCCAACTTTTTGTCATTTGTGTTTTTGGTGTTGTGTCTAAGAAGCCTTTGTCTAATCTAAGGTCAGGAAAATTTACTGTGTTTTCCTCTAAAAGTTTTACAGTTTTAGCTCCTACATGTAAGTCTATGATCTATTTTGAGTTAATTTTGTATGTGGTGTAAGATAAGAGCCCAAATTCATTCTTTTGAATGTGGAAACCCAGTTTTCCCAGCACCATTTGTTAAAAAGACTGTTGTTTTCCCATTAAATTGTCTTGGCAACCTTGACAAAAATCAGTTGCCCATAAATGGAAGGGTTTGTTTCTGGACTCTCAATTCTATTCCATTGAATATAGTTTCGTAGTAAGTTTTGAAATTTTGAAGTGTGAGTCTTCCACATTCTTTCTACAATATTATTTTAGCTATTCTGGATTCCTTGTGATTCCGTGTGAATTGTAGGATCAGCTTGTCAATTTCTACAGTGCAGCTGGGATTTCGATAGGGATTGCATTGAATCTGCATATCAACGTGGGGAGTATTGCCATCTTACCAATATTAAGTTTTATGGTTCATGAACATGGGATATGGGACATCTTTTTATTTATTTAGGTTTTTAATTTCTTTCAGTGATGGTTTGTAGTTTTTAGTGTACAAGTCTTGTACTTCTGTTAAATTTATTCCTAAATATTTTATTCTGAGGTTATTGTAAATGGAATTATTTTCTTAATTTTATTTTTAGATAGTTCATTGCCATATGTTTGGAGGATTTTTTTATTTTTTATTTTATTGTAGTAAAATATACATAACATAAAATTTACCATTTTACCTATTTTTAAGTGTACAATTCCCTGGTATTAAGTACTTTCACAGTATTCATAATATGTGTAACAATCACCAGAACTTTTTATCATTCCAAACAGAAACTCTTGTAACCATTAAGCAATAACCTCCCATTACCCCCTGGTAACCGCTACTCTATTTTCTGTCTCTTTTAATTTGCCTATTCTAGGTACCTTATATAAGTGGACTTATACAATGTTTGTCCTTTTGTGTCTGGCTTGTTTTACTTAGCATGTTTTCAGGGTTTATCCATGTTATAGCATGTATCTGAATTCTGATCCTTTTTAGGGCTGAATAATATTCCATTGTATGCTTATACCACATTTCGTTTATGCATTCATCTGTTGATGGGTACTTGGGTAGTTTCTACCTTTCGGCTATTGTGAATAATGTTGCTATGAACACTGGTGTACAGATATCTATTAGAGTCCCAGCTTTCAATTCTTTTGGATATATACCTAGGAGTGGAATTGCCAGATCATACAGTAATTTTCTGTTTAATGTTCTGAGGAACTTCCAAATTGTTTTCTGTAGCAGCTGCACCATTTTACATTCCTGCCAGCAATGCATAAGGGTTCCAATTTCTCCCCATCCTCGCCAGCACTTGTTATTTTCCATTTTTTTATAATAGGTACCCTAATGGATGTGTCTGTTTTTAAATTAAGAATTAAACTTCATGCAACAATCTTTTTAATGGTAGAATATGTGATCCCTCAGGCAGATGTGTGCAAAGTGTATTTCATTAAAAAGAAAATCAAGGAAAATTGTGAATTTTCTCTGTTCTCTGTTAGCTTTGTTTCCTTAGTATAATTGTAATATCCATAACTTGTTATAATTGAGGATAAATAATTAAATGTAAGGCTGGGCTTTTTAGAAGAGGAATATTTACAATTTTTATACACATCATTTTAAAGTTTGGGAAATTTAGTTCTTCCTGTCTTTTCTATGATGTTAAAGACTACGGAAACCACTGGTAGAACTCTGCCAGACAAGAGTGAGGAGATCTGCAGATATTTCTTGAACCCTTCCTTAATGTCACCGGAATGTTCACCAAAAACAACAAAAAAGAAAACAGAAGACATGAGTGACCTCCCCTCTGAGAGTCAAAGAAGCATACCACTTGCTGTGACTGATGCTTTAGAGCATATTATGGAGCAGCTCAATGTTTTGACACAGGTGGGTTGGCATGCTTTGCACTTGGGGGTAAGATATACAGAACAATCCTGGTTATAGCAGGTTGCAGAACTAACAGAGCAGAGGGAAAATTTTCTTCACTAGCAAGGCAAACTCAAGGTGACAGTCAGTATAGTAAGGTAGGCTTGGCTGAGCTGCCCTAACCATGTGCATGTATGTGTGTATGTAGAGACACACAATACACACATACACACACTGTGCTAGCTCTGACTTCCAGGGGCCAGAAGGGAGCAGTGTGGGCTGTGAATGGTACTCCATGCTATCTACCAACGTGTTGGTTCTAGGCAGTAATTTTCTGCTCATAGTATTTGTGATGCAGTTGTGCTCAGATAGGCCATTCACTTAGGGCCATAAGAAAAATGTGTTGGGAGTAAACATTTCTGGTTAGTGTGAAATATTGCCTATGTTCATAGTTTTCACTCTGTAAATATCCTCACTGTCCAATATATAACTTCTCTCATTCGAAAGCTTCTCACATTGATGTGGTGATTTTCCAGAGGTGATGGTTTTGCATTACCATTTTATAATATTACCCAGTCCTTTGAGGCCAATTTACCTTTGTAAAGAAGGAATACAGTGGATCCTAAGTAATGTACCAGAAGTCTTCCAACTCCTGGTGAGGAGGTGTAGATATAATTTAAGGGAAGTGGTATGTTGGTTGAAATGGATACACCAAAGGGTTCTCTTCCAGCTTTTCTGATTCACTGTTTCCTTTGAAGAAGTCTTCTCTTGTTCCTCTTTGATGTGTAGAATGAGGATACTAATATTTGTCAGGGTGGATATTGTTGTAAGTTATATAGAAAGGGAGTCTAAACTGTAAACTAGAGAGATGTCAATTAATTATCTAGAATAAATATTTCAAGTTGAAATAGCTCTTACGTGGAAATCATCTAATGCAGTGCTCAACCCTGTGTGTGCAGTACCATCATCAGGGCAGCTAAAAAACATACACATGTCCAGTTCTTACCTCAAGGGGTCATTTCCATTGGTCTGGGATAAGGTCATGACATCCGTCTTTTAAGCACCCCATATGATTCTGTTGTACAGCGGTGTTTAGAACCACTAATTAAATTAACATTTTGTCCTGTAGATACCATCTCAGGGCCTATGGAGTTAAGAAGCATGGGCCGGGCGCGGTGGCTCACGCCTGTAATCCTAGCACTCTGGGAGGCTGAGGCGGACGGATTGTTTGAGCTCAGGAGTTCGAAACCAGCCTGAGCAAGAGTGAGACCCCGTCTCTACTAAAATTAGAAAGAAATTAATTGGACAACTAAAAATATATAGAAAAAATTAGCCGGGCATGGTGGCGCATGCCTGTAGTCCCAGCTACTCGGGTGGCTGAGGCAAGAGGATCGCTTGAGCCCAGGAGTTTGAGGTTGCTGTGAGCTAGGCTGACGCCACGGCACTCTAGCCCGGGCAACACAGTGAGACTCCGTCTCAAAAAAAAAAATAAAAATAAAAAAATAAAATAAAGCTATAAATTCCCTTAAAGCACAGTTTAAAAAAAAAAAAAAAAAAGAAGCATGTATGTAGTTTTAGGGTCCTGACAGATTGTGGGAAGGAGCCATGTGAGAACTTGGAGTCACCATAGGATTTGCACAATGAAAATCATATTAAAATCACCCGTTTTCCCTTCATAATATTGTGAGAGAGGTGACTTTCTCTGTATTTGTGAGACGTTTCTTTCCTTTAAAGGCCATTGCCCTCTCAACTTCATGCCAAATTTCATTGTACTTGGCTCGTTTCCCACATTGCCATGACTCCCTCACCTGGACTATCATTTCAATGTCAGGCCCTCATTAGGATCCCACCCAAATGACTCTTTCCTTTCCCTACTCTTTCAGCTTCATGACCCATTTCTCCTCCTTTTTACCTAATTCAAAGTAAATAAATCACTTTAAGCTTTAATGAATTTCTCTATGATTTTTTGTTTTTAATTTTGAAGGAATGGATTGCTTTTCCATATTAAAGAGGTTAAAAGCAGGCTCACCGTATACTTGCAAAAGGGGAACAGTGAATCTATGGGCAAGTAGCAAGTAGAATAAATATGTTCTGATTCACTTTAATTACAGATGACTTAACATCACCTGACTAAGTGACAGGATGTTTATAGCTATCTCTACTGAACTATAATTAGAAATAAAGTGAAATTACATTTTAGATGGTAGACAAATGGAGTTAACCAGTGTTGAAGGTGTTGATAATGATTGTATCAACAACTTTAGCATGTGAAATGTGATAAGGTGTGAAAGTATCTGGCAAAATGCTTGGCACATAGTAGGCACTAACAAATGGTAGAGAGTATTAGCAGGATCACTATTATTTTTAATTAGTCATTATCTATAGAATGGAATATGAAAGCAAAGGCTATTGAATAATGGTATTTGTTTTAAAAATTGGTTATGTTCAGAGGATGACAAGGAATCAATTTGTTATCTTGAAACTTGTTGAGTAAGATAACCAAACATTTATCCTGCCTTTCCTATATGAACTCTACCACTGGGTAACCAGATAGTAGATTAGGGAAGTGTCTTTTATTTATGAATTATCTCAAATAATAATTTTTTAAATGATAGAAGTAGAATATCATCATTTGCAATCCACAAGAATTGTAGATCTAGACATTGAATCACTATAACACCACTAAAAGAGACAACCAAACATTATTAATGTGCCCTCCAATGAAAGAAGAGACCACCTCCTGTGGTCTTACCAAGGGTTCTAACCTGATCAAGCCTTTGAATTGAGCTGCCAACTTGTAGACTATACAGAGGATGTAAGAATGGGCTGAACTGCACCCTGAGTGTACAATCCCTAAAATCTTGACTGGTGGAAACATTACTGGTCAAATGGCCTGAGCCTGTCAACAGACAAATTATAAAGAAAAGAAAGGGAGAGGGTGGGCACCTATAGATTAAAAGAGATTTTAAATACCATATAAAGTCTTGAAAATGGGTAAGATAAAATTATAGTGCCTAGGGATGTATACCTAAGAAATAGAACCATAAAGAAACAGAAGAAAGTGATTACTCTAACGGTCAGGGTAGTGGCTGCTATGGAGGGAGGGCAGGGAGGTGATCGTGGTAAGCACAAAGAAGGTTCTCTGGGGTGGCTGGCAGAGTTCTAGTTCTTGATATGGGTGATGGTTATAAGGATGCTTTTTCTTATGAGAATTCCATAAGTAACACATATACTTTGTGTGGGTTCCTGAATAATGTTTTATTTTGTAATAAAACAATTTTAAGATATAAAAGACTAAAGGCAAAGTAGTCAATATCACAAAAAATTAAAATTTCCCCAGTTTAACATCTATATGTATGTATGCATGTGTTCTGTATGTATTCTAACTCCTTCTGCTTATATACGAGTATAGTATTCTTCAAGTCCTGTGTGCCAGCACTAGTGTACGCATTTCACATGCATTATTTCATTCAGTCCTCCTAACAACCCTATGAGGTACGATTAGCATCTTCTAGGTGAGGGAACTGCTGGCAGTCATTATGATATTTTCAAAGTCATCTAGCCATCCTTCTGTCTGGGGTGATATAGGTATGGTTCGCCATGGATTAGACTGTGACAGAGTGACCAGAGATGCCATTTCAGTAGCACCAGGCCGGGCACCCCCGCTGCCCACACTGCTGTGCAGTTGTGTGTGGCCCTTTCCCTGGCCTTAACACTTCAGAAGATCTGGCATAAGAACTGTCTACAGAGGCCGACCTGATCTTTTACTCCTTTTTGCTCAAACATGTCAATTTTTTTCTTTTCCTTAAACTACTTGATAGTGCCTTGTCCTGTGGTAGGGCCCAGAAGAAAAGCTCGTTTTTGAGCCAACTTCTCGGCAAAAGAATGGGTGTCCCAGTTCTACAAAGGATCTTCTATGTAGAGATTGTCATCATCATCCTCATCTCCAGCGTGCCGGGCGTTGATTATTTTGTCCTCCTTTTCGCAGACTGTTTCAATCTTGGAGCAGCGACTGACTTTGACAGAGGATAAACTGAAAGACTGTCTTGAAAACCAGCAAAAGCTTTTCAATGCTGTCCAACAGAAAAGTTGAATAGAAAAGTATGAGCAGAGGCACGATAAAATGAACACATGTACATAGACTCGGGAAGGTAGTACAAGATGCTCCGTGCAACACAACCACGCGCTCGTTATCATGGCATTTCTTAAAAGGGTGAGCAATAGAACAAAAGGCAGAAAAGGCATATCTGAGGACTAATTTAAACACACAAATCAATGTCAAGGACTAATTTAAATCACTACTATTTATGATTGCAGTAATAAAATGATAAGCACTCAAGTGACTATATTTTTTCCCATATTATTTTAAATGTCAGTTTTCGTTTATAGCCAAATCCTGCCAGGAAAGTAACCAAATCTCTGGATTTCACTGTTAAATCATTTCAGATTGACCATGTTCAAGAAATTCTTTAAAGCAATTCATGTATTTCTTTAATGAATACACCCTTGGGATGAAATAATTCATTTACCTCTAAAACAGCATGCTGTAGGCAGAGAATGAATTGTTGATCTGACTTGTTATATTTCTTTCAGTTCAAGAAAACCTGTCCTTTCTTACTAATGCCTTGAAAAGATGATCTAATAAAAATCCCCAGACCACAGAATTTCCACAGCAAGAATACATTTATTTTAATTAGCAATAGAACATAGGTAACATAGGGCAGTGGGGTTTTATTTAATTTATGGTGTACGTTGTTTATCCTTTAGCCAGCCTGAAGGAAAATGAAGAGTTAGAAGCATGCAGAGCATGCCGATCTTTTCTATCCTAGATGAATGCACTTGGTGGTTTGGATTGTATCCAAATCTGTGATCACAGTACACAAAAATTATGTTAGTGTGATTTCAATATCCTAAAAGGCTGGAACGATGCAACAGCAATATTTAAATATACACACATATATGTACACATGCTTCAGACATATTGTTGCTTAGGCAGCTAAATAATAAGTACTTTAAAATATTTTGCATCATCGTATTTTTTTAAATGAATTGTGATTTGAAGCAAAATGAAAGTGAGCCAGGCATTCTAAAAGATCTTGGTTACAAACTAAGAATTTTGTTGTATCTTAAACAAAATGAAGATTAAAGTGAAGAAAAGCAGACTAATTTTGGCTCGCCTTTCTATTAACTTGTATCAAGAACAAAGGTGGGAAAAGGCAGTCCATATTTATGATGTCTGTAGGTAACATGGGGAAAATGCTATTCTATGTTTTGGAAAAAAAGAAAAAATGAAGTCCTATTGATGTGGGAGACTATATTTAGAAATTTTTCTCAAAGCAATTTCAATTATATCTATGAGGCGGGTTTTTAAAATCATCTCGTGTGTTTTAAGTGCCTTTTTATATCATACTAAGTGTGAATTTCTAGACATTTTTAAGAGCTTGCAAAGACTAAGCAGCTTTGTATTTTTATAAACTCATTGAGAAGACTGAGAAATGAAATGTCATACCAATTTTTGTTTACTCTTTTATGCTTCAAACAATAAAGACATTTTTCCTTTTAAAAAAAGTTGTTCCCTTTCTTTTTAAATGATTAAAACGTGGAAATACTAAACTTCTTTATCATCTAGTTTACTCAATCTTTAATGTGCATAAAATTCTCCTGGAGAGCTTGATGAAATCGTTTCCTGGGCCCCATGTGCAGAGTTTGATTCACTAAGTCGGTGAGCCCGTCATTTGCATCTCTAACTAGCTTGTGGGTGACGTCCATGTTCTTACCTGAGGCCCACACTTCAGAAACCCCTGACGTAGCTCTAGCCACTTCTTACAAGCTGATGTGGCCACATACTTTTTACAGTCATCACAGAACTTTATAAATGATATAAAAATAGCGATGATATGAGTGAAAATTCCTTGAAACTTTTTCAAGAGGGTCATTATATAACTCTTCTTTTTTAATTTAATTTTATTTTTAGCATTTGAGGAATCTCCTTGGTCTTCATGAGATTCCAGCCCCTCTCTTTCCTAATTTAAATACCCAACTACCTGATCAATATCCCTGCTTGGAAATCTAACAAGCATTTCTAAATATGTCCAAAACCAATTCTGCTGCCATTCACTTCCACCCCCTGCCGTCACTAGGAGCACCTTCCCTAGTCTTCCTCATCTCACTAAAATAGCATCTTTCCTTCCAGTTGCTGGAACTGAAGACCTGGCGTCATCCAATGACTCCTTTCTCTCAGACCCCACAGTTTGTTCCTTCAGCAACTCTTGTCAGAATGTATAAAATGCCTGACCACTTCTCACCACCTCCGTTTCCCACCGTGGCCCAAGCACCATCATCTCTTGCCTGGATGACTGCAGTTGCCTCCTGACTGGTCTCCCTGCTGTCACCCTTGCACAGCAGGCCACAGTGGTTCTTGAAAAGCTGAGTCAAAGCATGTGGCTCTTTGGCTCAGAACCCTTCATGGCTTCCCATCTCACTCAGAGTAAAAGCCCAAGACTTGACTGTACATTATCTGCCCCCACCCCCACCTCTCTTCTCCATCTCCCCTCTTCTCCCCTTTGAGTCACCCCCACTCGCTGCCCTCTGGCCATAGTGGCTTCTTTGCTTCCCTTTGAAGAAGCAAACTGCTCCCTCTTGAGGGCGTTTGTCCTTGCCATTTCCGCTGCCTGAAACTCTCTGCCCTCAGACATCAATACCGCACAGCATTCAGCCTCTACTCGCTCTTTGCCTTTTCAGAGGGGCCCTATATGAAATAGTGACCCTCCCTACACACCCTGTCCCCTGACCTGGCTTTGATTTCTCCAGTACTCATGGCCATCTGACATATGTATCAGTTCATACATACGTCCCCTCCGCCCTGTAGGAACTGATGGATTGATGGATCTTAGGGCTGAGAACAGTTCCTAGTGTGTAGTAGGCACACAGCATACATTGCGTGAATATATGAAAACAATGTCTAAGTTACAGATTTTTTCTCCTCTACCCCTGAAGTGGCTTTTCAACTGTGATTGAGTCCTGAGCAGAATGCCTCAGCAGTCCAGTTCAAGAAACGAGATTTCAGGTGAGTGTCTGAGCCGTAGTAAATCCTCAGGATATCTGTGGTAGGGGAAAAGCACTCAAGGAGCCGTATTAATCTTCAGCCACATCATTTGATACTATCATTTCCTTCATGGTGAATACGGTTCAACCAAATGAAATGTAACTCACCCTGATAGAGTTTCTCAATACCTGTCTTCCTAGCTGCTTAAATATTTCTCTTAGACTTGAATTCAAGTTGTTAAAGTAGATGGTAAGGGTTTTAGAGGCTTTCTAAACAGGTAACTTCTCATTAGCCTGATGATCTGTTAAAAGATAAACTGAGGCACATTAAAATTTTAAAGTTTCTTTGAGCAGACAGTGAGTGATGAATCGGCAGTGCCAAGCTGCAAACAGTTTGGGCTCCGCTGAAGGAAGGACGAGGGGAAAACTTTTAAAAAGTGTTTGAGGAAATAAGATAGAAAATATTTGAGTGGTTCAAGTGAAACAGTAACCCTAAAGTCCCTAGTTAGAAAGTAGTTGGTGGCTCCTGACTGTTAAGCTCAAATTTGGTCTTCTAGGATACGATGCTTAGCTGTCTGCTTTTGGATTGCTTACATAGGAACTCAGGGTGCTAGGGCTGCCTCAGTCTAATGGCCTCCCAATTAATTATTTTAACATACCAAAGCTTAGTTTGCATCCCATTTGCAAATAGATTACTTCTTATTTTAATCTTGAAGATTAATTCCTTTAAATAGAACGGAAGAAAATAGTTCAGGAAGTTCATTAGTGAACTTTGGTGGAATATTGAAAAATAAGCTTAGGGAAGATTTTATTTATTCAATAATCATTGTTTACAGAGTGTACTTAAAGACTACAATGTACAAAGAAGGTAAATTTGATATGCTTTACCTTTCTAACTCTATATGATTATTTATATGATAGTGCCTCTGGGTTTTACTAAGGATTTGGAATGTTAACGCAAACATGAGCTACTCATTGCCTGTGGGATGAACCTAAAAAATCCAACTGCTGAGTTGTTTTGCTTGGCTCATAGAATTTTTAAAAAATTTTTATTTACCTGCTGATATTTACAAGTTGGAGATTGTATATTAATATTTTGGTCTCTGGCTTGTATTGGGAAATCAGGTCTGCAGTTATTGGCCTGCATTCCTCCATGGCAGCAATAAACTAGCGCTGGGTGGAGGGGACTCCATGTCTGCCCCCACTCCCTGTCATCTTCATCCCCCGCCACTGCTTGACATTGCCTGCTGCCTGGTTTGTAGGAGGAGTTCCACAATTACTCATTGAATAAATAAACATTTTTGTTCATTCAATTGTTTCTAGAACGTTGCTCTTTGCTTCACTTAAAGCCAAAAGCAGTTTGGCTTTATTATACTAATGTATTAGTGTAATATAGTATACTAATCTACTATATCATACTAACGCCATAATTATCCTAAATAAAGGCAAGGCAAAAACCAGAAGTCAGGAAAGGGCTTGGAATGTGAATCAAGTATGTGTCATTAGGAAAAAGACTTGCGAGGAATTTATACTATCCTTGCCCTTTGACCATTTGGAGAACAGGTATTATATTATTTGCTTACTGCCTTTTCTCTAAAGACAAGATAGAACAGATCCTCACTTAACATTTCATTTATGTGTAGAGCAAACTTGGAGGCTGTTATTACCATGAATTCTATGCAACTAAGAGGATTGTAAGATAAACCATCTGCCCCTGGGTAGACATCTGCTGAAAGAAAAAAATGATTCTAATATTTGGAGGTTATTGACAAATAATTATGATCAAATCATAAAATTTGATAAAAACAGGTGGGTCTATAGTAGATTTTTAATTGAAATTATACCATTGATTTATGCCTCAGCTTATACAACTTTTTGCCTTAGCAAGTCACAAGGTTTTAGACTTCATGCACCAGAGGATTTATGAATGTACATTGAATCTAGGAACACAGTGTAATTGCCAGGTTGTCCTCCAAAAGCCCCAACTGTGACTCAGCCAGGTAACACAATGGCAGCCTGAGCTTACTAGGAAAATAGGTCAATGGCTTGCCACGAGGCAGAGGTTAATGGGCAGGGTGGGGGAAGGGGTGTGTGCACAACTACTTTTTTCTTAGTAAAGTACATTAGTTGCATTTTCTTTGTGATCAAATGTCAAATGGGTTCCTATTAAGAATAAAAACTTGATTTGAGATTCTTCTCATAATAGATTGCATAACAAAAGAAATAGGAGAAATAACTTGATCATCCAAAAATGCTAAACTTATAAAGCATGAATAGGAAGAATTGGCAGAAGTGCAACAGCTAATTGGGAATATCAAAATTTCATAAGTAGAATTTAGTTAATTCACATGACACAAAGTTACACAAAATGAATAAGGCAGACTTCACATATGTGCAAACAACTACATGGAAGTATAAACAAATTCACTTTTTTTTTTTTTTTTTTTGCCCCGGCTAGAGTGAGTGCCGTGGCGTCAGCCTAGCTCACGGCAACCTCAAACTCCTGGGCTCAAGTGATCCTTCTGCCTCAGCCTCCTGAGTAGCTGGGATTACAGGCACGTGCCACCATGCCCGGCTAATTTTTTTTCTATATATTTTTAGTTGTTCGATTAATTTCTTTCTATTTTTAGTAGAGACGGGGTCTCGCTCTTGCTCAGGCTGGTTTCGAACTCCTGAGCTCAAACAATCCGCCCGCCTCGGCCTTCCAGAGAGCTAGGATTACAGGCGTGAGCCACCGCGCCCAGCCTCAAATTCAATTTTTTTGCCCAAGCATTTCTTAAAGAAAGATTGACCATGTTCTGGACCACACAATGTACGTATTAGTCAAAACTCTATACGCCATATATCCAGAGAATATATCATAAAAATTAGAAATAACAAAATAAAATGCTCAATCACACAGAAAATATGAAAAAGGAAACTTAAACTCCACCAAA